TTTAGCCCTCTAAAGGGAATTATACAAGCTACCTTCAGTAAGTGTTGAATTGTCTCTCTGTCATGTTATTGTTTCTCTGATTCGTTCAATTCATTCTGATCTAACCTCTGCCGTCCTCTTGTATCAGTGTGCTCCGTATTAATACATTTCTGACAGCCGTAAATTTAGCTGGATTTTTTTGTCTCGCGGTGAGGGCGATACCTTCAGGGAGAAAAGCCAAAAGCTGCAAAGATTTCTCAGCTGAACACGTTTAATGCCAAATGACTTTCTCGTCTGGTCCCGTTTACACGGAGGAGCAAGCCCGAGTGCACAAAGACACACCAAGCATCTCACAGCAGGGATAAAGATTAGTTTTGAAAGAGGATGAGTGTGAGCAAGACGAGCAGCCCAGATCACAGCGCCACACAAACAGATGCTGTTAGAGGTTTTCAGTGCATGCGGTGTGTTACATCTGTCCACAGCAGGAAAGTTCATCCTGAGATTAGAGTAAAGCAGCTAGGAGCTCTGTCGGGTCCCATTAGCTTCTCTTAGCAGGTTTGTGGCTTCATGTCAAGAAATACCTGATGCCATCAACTCATTTTCTCTTTTTTAGCTTGGCTTAAAATGTAAAATATTAGTGCCTATATGTTGACACACGGGTGTATTTTATCACAAACAGAAAAGTCACAACTTGTTGTCCTGAGAGTCACCAGACGTGGCTAAATGATGTCATTGCCTTATTTGCATATGTTAATAAAATAAAGACTCAAAATACCTTAGAAACTCTATAAAATAAGTTTGAGTATTCAGTGATATTTTTGTGGAAGCAAAATCTACATAAATCAATTCTATTTTATCAAATTCACTTTTAAAGTAAGCAGAGGCAAATACAGTGGATGAAACTGTATGCGTTAAATGCAGTGAGGAACTATTTTCGTTCCAGATAAAAATAAATAAATAAAAAAAGACTCTTAGGTTAAATGTCATGTTTACATCCCACTTAAAGGGGATCAGTGAAAGCTTTAACTCATTTTCAAATCAAAACACAGGAAAATCAGCCTTCCCTCACTGACTGCAGAAACGGCTTGGTGCTGAGTCTGAGCGCCTGCTTTGGAGGAGGAAGGGGCCCTCACTATACTCCAGCGATTGCTGCTTTTATTTTGTCACAAAAGTCTGAGACAGCGCAGGAAAAAGATGCTAGATTTTAAAGAAAAGAGGGGTTTGAAAAGTTGCTAAATATAGCGACAAAGTCACTAAGTTAGCAACAGTGTCTTTAATTTTTATCAATATGAGGCAGCAGTAAAATTTTTGTAAACAGAAAAAAAAACTTTAAGTTCCAATACTGTAATCAATAACTTAACAGGATCCATAATTAGTTGTCAGATTAGTAGGGGTGTAAATCACTCCCATCATGGCGATTCGATTCAGTATAAATGTCCTGACCGAATGATTCGATTATTTTCGATTCTCAAGAATAAACCGCAGTATGATTTGATTCGATTAATCTTTTTTTATTTTTTTTTACTTTACAGGCTAGACAATGTTTCAAATTTGAAATCAATCAATGCAAGCTGTAATATCGTTGTGCATTTTATTTGAGAAGCAGCAAATAACAAAAGTAGTAAAGTTGTACTCCACCTAGGTATATGAAAAGCACATTCACTGAAAAATAATCCCTCTGTGTTATGAAGGCCTGGCATCGAAACTTACTGTAAGTGGAAAGAGGGTAATGGCTAAAGGAAGTGAGGTAGGAGGGCAAAAGAGGTTTAGCGCCACCGCAGCATGGGAGTCAGAATTACGTCCAGGAGCAGATGAATGAAAATAGACTGAAGGAAAAAAAAAAACATGAACCTATACTCTTGCGGACGTGTCGATGCATTGGATCGTCGTCTGTTGGATCAATGCATCGATACAAAACGATTAATAACACCCCTTCTGATTAGACTTTATTTCAGAATTTTTTTTTTTTATTTTGATGCAAATACAATACAGTAGTGATGTTATGAGATGAGCCGAGGCTTCGAGGCATGTGTCGAGTACTGGAGGGGGTGTTTCGACGAGGTGCGTATTGAGGCTTGCTTCATTTAGGGGAGGAGCCAAAATCGATGATGTCCGAAGCCTCGCAACTCCGCCATACCACCTGACCGCTTCCAGAAGTGGTTCAGCTTGCCGGTAACTTCGGCAGCATTTAAACAGCCTCTGTGTTCAGTCAAGATGTGGGAGTTTGTAGGAGAGTTGGATAGGTTCCAAGAATAAAATGGTGTTTTTCCAACCAATCTAGTTGGTTAAAACTTGTTTGGTTACCTTACATTATTTTTCTCTTCTAAGACATTTTACACTCAAAAAACTGAACTAATATGGGGGAAAAAACAAACAAGAAAAACAATATTACAAAAAGATGAGATTATATTACTAACTGTAGTTCTGCACTTCACCAGTAAGTGGCGACGTGTTCACATGAAGCTTCATGAACTGTGGGGATCGTTGAATCAATTTGGCAAAATGGTTCAATGTCTCATGAGGCTTCATCTCACCATCACTACAATACATTAGAAATACTATGAGCCTCGTTGTTTGATAAAATAAAATTATTGACTATCACATTCTGGGTAAATGACACATGCTAGGTCCTGTAGCGTTAGCTCTGTCCGACCAAAACAGCAATAAGTCCCACTACTTTTTATCTTGAGCGCATCAAAGTTTATGTAGGAATCACGAAGGGTGATGAAGATGAGGACTAAACTGAGGAAGAGTAGGGAGTTGGCCTATAAAGCTAGTGCTGGCTGCTTGAAGGTGCTAAAGCAGACCGAGCTCCAGTTTCTAACTGAGGCTGTTAGCTTTCTGTCATATATTAGAACAATGTGTTACAATGACTAAAAGATGCTTCACTGTCATCTTGAGCAGTAATTTATTATCTTCAAAATTTTATTTTGTGTGGCATTATCTAAATTCACACCAGTCAAAAAGCAATACCATAAAAAAACATCTGCAGAATGTTAGCCATCCTGTCTTAAACCAGTGCCAGTCTGGAAAGACTTAACTACATCAAATGGCAACCTCTTTGGGTGAAAAATCAAAAAAAAGAAAAAAAACATAAGAAATACAATTTTTTTTTAAATAATTATTACTTTTTTAATGTATCAAAAACAATAAATATAAATTAGTAGGAAAAATACAACATATTTAGGCCAACGTGTTCTTTAGTTAATAAAATAAGTTACCAGTTTACCCTCATTCAGCATGAGAGAATCTGTAATGATCTATATTAATGATTTCCCTTCAGTGAGTGACGTACAAATGTTCGCTGATGACACTGTATTGGAAAATATGGCAAAATGGCTTACCTTATCCTAACATTTAAGAAAAAAAAAACTGAGTTGTACTTAACCAAATCTAGAAAAAGAAAGTCTATCACCAATAGTTTTGTGAAAGAAATTGATACTGTGGACATATTCAAATACATCTGTACTGTTTAAGATGTAAAATGTTGCAAAATGTGGAATACTGTGAAATAAAATCTGTCAGTTCTTGAGGCTCATGAGAAATATGCTCACTTATGAGGCTGAAGAATTATATTCACATATGAATTATTGTACCTCTATTTAGCCCCATGTTAATCCCTCAGCATTAAACCCTCTGAAATCACTCCATAGTCAGGCTTTAAAGCTACTAGATAAAATGCCTTTAATCATCATTGTGAGAATCAGAAATTTCATTGTATAGTCAGATGTGTGACTAAGTGTTACGATTGTCCCAATATGTCCAACTTTGCTCTGAGGAGACCTCAGCACATAATCACTGACTAGCTTAAAGTATTTGGAGTATATGGATCAATGTGGCTACTGAATGCATGTTAAGGGTATTGTATTGTTCTTAACTGGCCAGACAGCAGATTGACTAAATATATAGCTAAATCTAATCTAATAATTTATTAAGATTGACATGTTTACACCTGCTTCCCGTGAATTACTTAAAAACAAAATTAGAGATAGACCAATACGTCAGCAGGTTGATTTTGTTGTTGTTGTATTGGTATCATATACATACATGCATTGGCTGATTCATTAATGATTCAAACTGGGGGGATGCGCCATCTAGAGGTGGAACTGCGTGGTTGCAGGGGGGCGTGGAAGAACTTTATTGAATTCCGTAAAAATTCAAAAAATATCCACTGGACTTGGTTTTCAAGATTTGAAGACGTTTCGCCACCTCTCCAGGAAGCTTTCTCAATTCAAATGTCTGGATCCGCAGTGAGTTTATTGAATAAATGACGCAGCTAGACTTTATTTACTAATATTTTTTTTTACTTAAAGCAATGGTGAAATCGGTTTCACAATAGAATAAACAGCTAAACGAAGTAAATTGACTTAAAAAGTGATAATTTTAATGAGTAGTTTATTTCTTAGCAATATTTCATTTATTGTTGGTGCCTTTTTTTTGCATACACTGTGTTTTGTTTAAATTGGGATTAAATGTTTGTTTTTTGTTTGAATTCAGATTGCTGTAATATTTGTTGCCATAAAAAGGTTAAAAGTCCCATCCATCACTTCAGGTGAATCTAGCCTGAGTCCTCCTGTCTATGAGGTAATCTTCTCTGGGACTTTGTATAATTGCTCTAAAAAGGTTTGCATCCATCCATTTCCCTGACTTATTTATGCTGTACTCAGGATGGGGGGGCATAGGGCAGATCATATCCCAGAATGATCCTGACAAGATAAAGAAAAACAACCTGGATGATTTGACGGTTTACTACAGAGCCAACACACTCCTGGATAATTCATGGTTTCACCTCAGGTGCCGATCTTTAGTCAGGGAAAGAGAAGTAGAAAAAGCTACCTGTCAAATCAAAGTGCTGGGATTTGAAGTGTTTAGTCTCCTGGAATAACCTTCACAACCCCAAATGTTTAGGATCTGTGATCTGACTCTGAGCGTTCTGAGTCTGAATAAGAAACTCACCCTCAGTGTTGACCCGATATACGCCTTTGAATGAAATCAGCTGTTTTCTTTGGGTTTTCTTACAGGTGCAGTAGAGCATGTCCAGCTTCTTGCTCCCTTTGTGGTTATCAGAAACAAGGAGGTGAACATCACAGCAGTGGTGCTGCCCAGCCAATCACGCACTGTCACCTACTTCTGGTGGCTTGGTAACAACACAGAGGTAACTCGTCTGAGGCGACATGTTTTTATTCCTTTTTTTTTCTCTTACTAGGCTACATCGGAGAAGCAATAGTTCGGCCAGAGTGAGATAAAATGTTTGCATCAACCTGACAGAATATCAAAAAAGAACCATTTTAACATGTAAAGACCTGCAGACATGGTCAGATTTTTGCTGGACTCTGTGTGGTCTGTTGTTGTTAGTCATAAAAACTCAAAGGACTCTGATCAATCCAATAACTTAGCATAAGAAGTTTGAATAAATTAACCTCAGACCGAGAGTATGGAGTGAATTTTGTTATATTATTTTACACAACTAAAAATGCCTCCTAAAAAATAAGAAAAAAAATATAGTGTTTTGAGTGAATTATTGCTTATTTTTAGCAAAATAATCTGCCAGTGCAGCAAGCAAATGAGACTTGGTAAGATTTCTTAAAACAAGAACATAATATCTAAGTAGTAAGCATCCAAAAAAACTTAAATCAAGTATAAAAATCTATTTTTTCTTTTACTCGTTAAGATTTTTTCTCTTATTTTATGCAATGTATTCTCATTTATTAGTCATTATTGCTTAGAATTAAATGTCCTCTAACCAATTATTGCTCAAAACAAGCATACAACAGGCTTAAAAACAAGGCAAATGTACTTAATACCAGTTCATTTAAAGGCTTAAAGCTAGTCTGTTTTTCTTAGCTAGAATTAATTTCATTATTTAGGTGTAGTGAATGTATGGGAAAAATACATTCAAAACGTTTTTTTTTATAAATATTTTAGCAGAAATGTCACAGAATTAAGCAAAATACCCCCCCCCCCCCCTTATCTAGTTAGGATTAAAAAGATTAATTTTCTTAAAACAAGTCAAAAAATCTTAACAATATTCAGTCTTACTAAGAAAATACATTGAAAAACAAGTGTAATAAGACCAAAATGCTGAATTCAAGTTTATTAAACTTGTATAGATTTTTCCTTTTTTGCAGTGTAGCTAGCAAAAAAAAACATTTTGTTAATGGAATTTTTTTTTATAAAAAATGGAAACCCTAAAATTAAATATTGTAAAACGTTTAAATAAAACGAATGCTGTTTTGCTGAGAGGTTATTTTTCATTTTTTTTTTTTTTTTAGCATATTTCATTTTCTTTACATTCCATTTTTTGGAAACTTTTTTCCCAACATTTTTCAGGATATTTTCTACTTTCAAATTATTGGTATTTCTTTGTATCTTTTTAGATTTTATTTTATGAATTTTATCCTTTTCAAATTGGGCTACATGGATCACATTCTCTACACTTCAAACTAGGGCTGCAACTATCCATTATTTTACAAATTGGTTAATCTCTGAATTATTTTTTCAATTAATTGATTAATAATCTAATATCCAAAGGATGCAAACTGTTAATATATTTTTTGCAACCTTTATATAGTTACTGCTCTAAGCGGGTTGCTTTGTGAGCTAAAGGCACATTTTAGAGTCTCTATCCTCCAGTTCATGATTAATCAATTGCTAAATCCGTTGGCGATTATTTCAATAGTCGATTAATCAAGATTAATTGTTCATCCCTATTTCGAATCCAATTCAAACGCTCTTGTTGTTTACATTGAGTAAAAAAAAAGTTGTTAACATCAATCCAGGCAAACAAAAATGCATCGCAAAGGAGAAAAAGGGGAGTGGCAGCCTAATGGTTAGGGCATAGAGCTTGGAATCCTGAGGTTCTGACTTCAAGCTCCACTCCCACACACTGCCACTCTGGGTCCCTGAGCAAAGACCCTTTACCCCACACTGCTCCTCGGCACCACACAGTGGCAGCCCACTGGATGGGTTAAATGCAGAGGTAAATTTCTCCAGTGTGAGATCAATAAAGTTCGATTATTATTATTAAATAGATTTTTTTTTTTTAAGTCATCTCTGGTTTGTCTTTTTTTTATCTTTATCTTCTACACATTTCTTTTTTTGCTTGCAACAATAATGGAACAAAATTAACTATAAATTTGTGAACTCTAGATATACATACCTTAAATGACTTGCAGCTGCTATAGTGAATATGAATATATATATATATATACACACTCACCGGCCACTTTATTAGGTACCCCATGCTAGAAACGGGTTGGACCCCCTTTTGCCTTCAGAACTGCCTCAATTCTTCGTGGCATAGATTCAACAAGGTGCTGGAAGCATTCCTCAGGGAGTTTGGTCCATATTGACATGATGGCATCACACAGTTGCCGCAGATTTGTCGGCTGCACATCCATGATGCGAATCTCCCGTTCCACCACATCCCAAAGATGCTCTATTGGATTGAGATCTGGTGACTGTGGAGGCCATTTGAGTACAGTGAACTCATTGTCATGTTCAAGAAACCAGTCTGAGATGATTCCAGCTTTATGACATGGCGCATTATCCTGCTGAAAGTAGCCATCAGAAGTTGGGTACATTGTGGTCATAAAGGGATGAACATGGTCAGCAACAATACTCAGGTAGGCTGTGGCGTTGCAACGATGCACAATTGGTACCAAGGGGCCCAAAGAGTGCCAAGAAAATATTCCCCACACCATGACACCACCACCACCAGCCTGAACCGTTGATACATGCAGGATGGATCCATGCTTTCATGTTGTAGACGCCAAATTCTGACCCTACCATCCGAAAGTCGCAGCAGAAATCGAGACTCATCAGACCAGGCAACGTTTTCCCAATCTTCTATTGTCCAATTTCGATGAGCTTTTGCAAATTGTAGCCTCGGTTTCCTGTTCTTAGCTGAAAGGAGTGGCACCCGGTGTGGTCTTCTGCTGCTGTAGCCCATCTGCCTCAAAGTTCGACGTACTGTGCGTTCAGAGATGCTCTTCTGCCCACCTTGGTTGTAACGGGTGGTTATTTGAGTCACTGTTGCCCTTCTATCAGCTCGAACCAGTCTGGCCATTCTCCTCTGACCTCTGGCATCAACAAGGCATTTCCGCCCACAGAACTGCCGCTCACTGGATGTTTTTTCTTTTTCGGACCATTCTCTGTAAACCCTAGAGATGGTTGTGCGTGAAAATCCCAGTAGATCAGCAGTTTCTGACCAGCCCTTCTGGCACCAACAAACATGCCACGTTCAAAGTCACTCAAATCACCTTTCTTCCCCATACTGATGCTCGGTTTGAACTGCAGGAGATTGTCTTGACCATGTCTACATGCCTAGATGCACTGAGTTGCCGCCATGTGATTGGCTGCTTAGAAATTAAGTGTTAACGAGCAGTTGGACAGGTGTACCTAATACAGTGGCCGGTGAGTGTATATATATATATATATATATATATATATAATTGACATTTTAACTAATTATTAAAAATCTTTCTTACCACGTAACATTTTTTCACTCCCATAAAACGCATCAACAGACATTTTGTGACAAAATGTGACAAAACCAAAACATGTTGAATATCAAAACTGTTTAAGGAACTTTTTTATTTGATTTGTCCAAAGAAACGTCAGATTTTTTCTTCACTTTGACTCTGTGCTTCCAGCCGGTGATCACCCTGGATGGAAGTATCTCATACACCTTTAGGAGTGAAGGAATGCAGACCATCACAGTCCAAGTAGCAGCAGGTGACACCATCCTACAGGACACCAAGACCATAGCAGTCAAAGGTCAGTTTCTGTCCCAAGCATGGCCAAAGAGAAAAGGCTGTGATGTGTGTTTATTTTAGTAGTCTAATCTGCGTGTTTGTTTAAAACAAGAACTTTTTCTGAAACAGAAAAATTATGTCTTTATTTCATATTGAAATTACAGTAAGATATGTTCTGATTCACCTGCTACTCTGAGCCAATAAGTGGAAGGGATATAAGGAAGCTTGGTCTTTTTATCAAACGTTAACTACCTGGGAGCTGGACTGGAGCAGAATGACATTTGGCAGATCTCCTCGAGAATAATGGCCCCCGATCACTGAGAATTAATGGCTGATTCTTCCCCGACTCTCCCCCGCAGAATTCTTCAAGTCTCTGCTTTTATCTTTCTCTCCGAACTTGGACGAGTTCAACCCCGACATACCCGAGTGGAGGCAGGATGTGGGGAGAGTAATTAAGAAGGCTCTGCTACAAGTGAGTGATTTTCATTTTGACTTCCATCTTCCTTTCGTCTGTCTCTGCGATAAGTCCTTCTCTCAGTCTCAGCTTGCTCCTTTACAATTATCTCCCAAACCCCTCTCCTGCCCAATACTCAGCGATGCAATGAGCAAACACCCCTGGGCCACCCTGTGATTCATCATCAGACAGGTGTGAGGACGCCTCTGCCTTCCTTCTCCCTTGATGGCTTCATAACGACTCCGGTTCCTTAATTTCTAAAGTCTCTGATAAAATGATCCCAGAACTGGGAACACGTGGGTTTTGGTGGAGACCCAACGCTTCCTGTCCCTGTCACACCATGTGTGTGTGTGGCTGACGTAGGAGTTCTATGAGTGTGTCTGTGAGTAGGAGGCCTATCATTGTTAAGTGCTTCTCATCTCCCCATTCACCGTTCATGAATAGCTGAATGCATTTGATGGCGATGCTTGAAGCCGTCTTAGGAGCAGATTGAGCATTACAGTAGCAGGTGGGGGCTGGAGGAGGGATATTTATGATTCCTAGCGATCTGATGAGCTACTGTCAAGTGATTTGATTTTTTGCTGTGCTATTCCCACACTTGAAGGGTTGTATTAAGCTGAACATTAAACTGGATTCCACTCAATGACCAAACTGTTATTTCATTTTTTCCTTTTTTATTCTTCTTCTTGTGTTGTTTACAGGTTTACAGAATCATTTAATAAAGCAGGTGAAAAACCTTTGAAAGAAATGAAACCAAACAAAGCATTTACCATCTAGCAAATTGTAATAGTTCTGAGAAATGCAACATTAAATATATTTATGAAAATAGACTATGTTTTTAACTTTAAATTAAGACCATTTAGTTTTTAATTATCATAAAAAATGCATCAAAAAACGTATTCAAGCATTTTAACGGAAGCGATTTATGCAGGTTATTTAACTCCATAGATTACATCAATTCTTAAATAGCAATAATAAATAACCAGTGAGTGATTTTTAGTTTGTTTTAAATATGTATAACGTAGACTATGAAATTTCATTTTAACTGTTAGAAGTCTATTTTAATCACACACAGAAGAAATATGCAAAAATTTCCCCGTGCAACAGTTTCACAAACACAATTTGGATTGTTCAACCGCAACGTTAAATCACTGAAAAAAGTTACACCAGCATTTCTCCAGCCAAATAAAGCAAGCAAGCAAGACTTACAAGGCAAAACTTTCATGACGCACCGTGTGAGTATTTATAAGCTTAACAGTACGAACAAACATTTCCCGCACGTCTCAACGCCTCATCAGCGCGGCGCATACATTCTTTTCACAACAGAATTAAATGCAAGCTTACCGGCTGTCTGTTCAGTCCTTTGCTTCCTTAATACAAATTTTGCACAGCTTCTTCCACTGCCCGAGTAAACTGGGGCTTTTTATTTTCATGCTGCGATCCTCTGCTTGAACTAGGAAGTTTGTCTCACCTTTTGATTGACTGATTGATTGCACGCAGGTAAACTGCGCGCTCACGCTTAAACAGCTGATGTAAACAAAAGGGGGCGTTCGCCGCAACAGCTACCATGATAACTCCCTAAATCACATTCATGTTTTAAACCAACGCATTAGGTATTTTCTATGTATCCGAGATGCAAATCACGATTCTAAGATGCAGGTGGGAGACGCAACTTTTCCTGTTTTCTGTTGATCAGGTTTGCATGCTTTTTTGGATTCTCTAAAGGTTAAGTTAGGTCAAGTTTAAGTTTTTGTTTTTTCTTTCTTTTCGTCTCCACAAACAGAATTCTTCCAATTTGGCACATGCATGCTAAATACAGACAACTTTTGTCAATTTGAGTGTGGAACCGAATACATCTGACCAGCAACTCGTTAAAAAGTTAAACGCATAGCAGTAGGATTCAGTAAATCCTGCCTCTTAAGGAAGTACTGTTTTCTTCCTGGTTGGGGCTCATAATGTTAGCAAAGCATCTTCAGGCTGTTCTCTTGAAGAGTTAAATTCCGTCCGTTTCTCAATATGTGTACTTGTGCGTTCTCATGTACTCATTAAACTTCAGCATCCTCCATGTACTTCTGAAACATCAGCCTCAGCCCTAGTACTGTTCCAATTCGCAAGAACAGCAGACCGAGAACGGACAAAGTTCTCCCTTGCCCCTCCCTCTTTACCCAGCATGCATCAGAGCAGATTTCTCCGTTCTTGAGATTGACAGCTGTCCCAGCATGCACTGCGGCAGCAGCAGCCTCCAGGTTAACGCTACCAGAGCTCAGAGTATTAAGTTAAAAGTTCTCTTTTTTTCTTGCTGTTGTCATAAAAGTATGTTTTGAGATCACTTTAGGTGAGAACTATACAATCAGGGAATTATACTTTTAAGCATCACTATATGGCCCATTTACTGATTTATTGCGTAAAAGCTTCAATGTTGAGAGGACCGCAGCCAGCGGACCAGGTCTGACTGCAGCCCGTCTGCAGCAGCCCACTCTCTGCATAGCCATGTGTGAAGGACCGCTGCCTCTGATGGCCATATTCTTGTTTTATTTGGTTTTAGCTCAGTGTTCATTGTAATACCCCCACTAAATGAAAAAAATCAGAATTTATTATCATCTAGAGACTATTAATAACAGGAGGTGAAATGCAGCTCAAGACGAGCCGAGCGTGTGATGTCATCAGTACGCTTCTGTTCCAGTTGACATACTTGGTGAGGAAACGAGTCCGTACTCGCGCTCTAGTGAATTGAGAAACGTTCTCTAAATTCGTGCAACACACGTCTGTCATTAACTGACAATTTTATACCGGACATACAATGAAAATTCTTAACAGCAGCTCTGTTTAAGCTGAATGTTTCAACAATGTTAGTGTCAGATGCAGGAGTTTGCCCTGCAAATGGAAGGTTGTCGGTTCAAACCCCAACTACGGCTTTCAGTGTCAATGTTTCTTTGGATTTAAAGAATGTTCATGTTAACAAGATGAAATGAAAGAACTGGGTGGGTTAAGGTTTATTTTTATACATGTTTATTCATATTTTAAAAACATGAAGGAGGAATTCTCTCCTCCTCGTTGTAGACAGCATTTCTTAAGAGTAGGTTATAAGGAAAAAAGCAAAGAGAAGTAAAAATCATCCAGCTGTCATATATATGTGGTCACACTATATACTGTATATACCCCCATGCACATTTTCTTCCTTTCGCACCTTCTTCTTCTTTTTGACTATTTGAGCGTAATGAGTAAATTTCTCCACTGTGAGATCAATAAAATCAATCAATCATTCATTACAGTCTTCTTGATTATCTTCCTCCTCCCCTTCCTCCTGAAATATCTTCTTTTTTGAACCTCTTTGATTTATTCTTCCATCAGTCTCCCTGTTTTCCACATCTCTTTTCCATCATCTGCTGCTATTCTAAAACTGGCATCATATAATCACAATCCCCTCATTAAAATGTTAAAAGCTTAGGAGTACGACATCTTGACAATTCACAAGATACTTAACAAGTAAAATAATTTTCTTTGATTCAGACACCCTTTAGAACTTGTTTTTAGAATTTGGGATCAACATAGTATCATCTTAATGTTTTTTTTTTCATTATCAAACTCGGCTATTCTAAGGAAATGCTATATTTAGCCAAAGACAAGACAGACAAACTAAAGATGAACTATATTCATTCAGAGCTACAAGCTGAAAAGAAGAAAAGCACATTTGAGCAGGTAATTATCGCTCCATCATCTCTCCATCTCTGTTTAGGGGTTCTTGTCTCATCCACAGTTTCTCTGTCACTGACCCCTTCATTTAGTTTCATCATTAACACTTTCATACGTCCAAACTAAATAGATAAAAACACACCTAAAGCCTAAAAGTCTATGTTCCCAACTGACAATTAGCAAAAATAGTCATAACAAGCCCTAAGCTTCACAGTAAAGGTTGACAGGTAAATCTGAAACATTTGTTGGAATGAGCCTTTTTTGATGCAGTTGTCAGAGCTTTACAAAGACTTTTTTTTATCTTATCATTGTCTTATGATGTCTCTATCTCTCTGTTTCTCACCTTCTCACCTAAACCATCCCTGTGCTGCATTTTGTTCTGTTTCCTAATAAGAATTGTTTTACTTGCACTTTAAATCTGATGTTTAGTAAATATAAAAGATATTCTGAACAAAGTAAATGTTGACAAAGCTCAGAACGTTTCCTATTGCGAATCAGACCTTTACTTTATCAATGAAAGGATCACCTTATCCAGTCACATTTTATTAATTCAGGACGACCCCCCGTCAATGTTTACAAGCTGTCATTCTGCTCATTTATCTTTTGTTTTTTTAAAGGTGCTCCATTTACCTCTCTTCTCGTCTATGACAAAAAAAGCAGAGGAAGCATACATTTATAGTTTGAAACAACACATACTAAAGAATTGGAGAATAGAGCAAAATAAAGCAGAATGATGAAAAGTAGTCCCTATGTCCTCCAGCAGTCTAAGCCTATAGGAGCATTACTGTAGGGATAGCTTAGGAGAACGTGTGCCACCAACTATAAGCTTTAACAAAAAGAAAAGCTTTCAGCCTAGCCTTAAAACCACTAAATCTCTCAGTAACTATTCACAACAGGGAATATATAGTTGATTTTACAGTGAACTCAGTTAACTGACCGTTCGGACAGATAATCACTACTTTTTGCTCCATGGTGCTTGCGGCATCTTTGTTATTTGTTGCCACTTTCGCTACCCAACAGCAAGCCGCTGTGACTACAAATCCCGGAATGCTGAGTCGAGTCCACTACTTTTTTATCCACTAGACATTCGGACACGCATCTAAAATGCTGTAACCACTATATAGTGCCCTATATAATGGTTAGGGCGGAAAATCGGTCACAGTTGAGCCGTACCCTAGAAACACAATGGAAATAATATTTAAGTATTTTCTGGTAACCATTCTTGTTGAAATATTTAAAATCATTGCACAATAATTTTCAAGGACCTTTCAATTAACAGATTTAAATTATGTTTGAGTAAAAAACACTTTGATTAATCTTAGCAG